GATGGGGTTTCAGCGTGTTAGCCAGGATGGTCTTGATCTCCTAACCTCATGATCTGCCCACCTCTGCCTCCCAAAGTGCAGGGATTACAGGCGTGAGCCACTATGCCTGGCGAACACGTACATTTTCAACAGAAGAGCAAGAGACTATAGACCCAGAATACAGCGGCAGATAAGACCCTGCTGTGCAGGAGTCAAATAACTTAATTCTTAGCACAATCCTGTAAGATGAATTCTGTTATCATCCCACTCTCTAGATAAAGGATTCAAGGCACCAAGAGTTTAGTTCATGAGCAGTAAGAGATTTGGGCCCAAGTGGTTTCGTGTCAAAGCTTATGCTTGGCATAATTTTTTGATAGAGAGCCAGATGGTAAATATTTTAGAATATTAGTGTTCAAATAGTCTGTGTACAACTAATGCTTCTGCTGTTGTAATGTAAAAGCAGCCATAGCCAATGTATACAAGAATAGCTGTCAACTTAAATGCGCATCAATGATAGATTGGATAAAGACAATGTGATACATATACATTATGGCATACTATGCAGCCGTGAAAAACAATGAGATCATATCCTTCGCAGGAACATGGATGGAGCTGGAGGTTATTATCCTCAGCAAACAAACACAAGAACAGAAAACCAAATATTGCATGTTTTCGCTTATAAGTGGGAGCTAAATGATGAGAACACATGGATACATAGAGGGGAACAGCACACACTGGGGCCTGTTGGAGGGTGGAGGGTGGGAGGGGGGAGAGGATCAGAAAAAATAAATAATGGGCAGTAGGCTTAGTAACTGGGTGATAAAATAATCTATATAACAAACCCCCATGTTTACATATGTAACAAACCTGCACGTGTAACCCTGAACTTAAAAGTTAAGAAAAAAGAATGAGGTGTGTATGTGTTCTAATAAAACTTTACTTGTAAAAACTGGTGAAGGCCAGAATCTGGGCTGTCACATGGGGCAGGAAGAGATAAGGACTGAGGAAAGGAGGAAGAAGTCGAGACAGAGAAATAAGGGAGGAATGTGAATAAGTTCCAAAGATATATTTCAAGCATTTTTAGTATTTTTTTCTTAACTTGCTCCTCCAGCAACAATTTGTTTATTTATTTATTTTTAGACTAGTCAAGTGGAGTAGTGGAAGGAGGGAAAGAGTAGAACAAGGAGATTGATCTGTAACTGACTGAACAGTCGATTGAGATAACTCACTACCTTGGGACCAGACCAGCAGGAATTTTTTAACTGGGGCAGGACGGTGAGAGCGGAGGTGTATTTTGTCAATCTTTAGCATCATAAGCTCAGAGAAAACATTTCTGTAGAGATGTAAATGGCCCCAAAGAATGAAGATGTTGGAATTTGGAACCATTTCAAGCCAATGAATAGTGATTTCTTTTTTCAGTTTTGTTTGTTTGTTTGTTTGTTTGAGACAGAATCTTGCTTTGTTACCCAGGCTGCAGTGCAGTGGTGTGATCTTGGCTCACTGCAACCTCCGCATCCTGAGTTCAAAAGATTCTCGTTTCTTAGCCCCCCAAGTAGCTGGGATTACAGGCATGTACCACTGCGCCTGGCTGATTTTTTTTTTTTGTATTTTTGGTAGAGACGGGTTTCGCTGTGTTGGCCAGGCTGGTCTCAAACTCCTGGCCTCAGGTCATCTGCCCACCCTGGCCTCCCAAATTGCTGGGATTAGAGGTGTGAGCCACCGCTCCTGGCTGTTTTGTCTTTTAAATCATCAACAACGATTTAATAGTCAATTGGTGAATCCTTCCTCAATCCCTGGCTGAAAGGTGGGTGACTCTCTCCCAATCCTCTTTTGCATTTGCAAAATTGCGGCAGGGAAGAGGCTTGGGAAGTAAACTCATTTGCCTCCTCCCCACTGGATTAGCAAACAATGTCTCCATCTTCCCTGTGAAAATATCGGGTAGATTGGAGGCAAGTGTAACCGGCACGTTTCACGGAGGAGAAAGCTGTGACCCATCCAGTTTGATAAATGCCCTGTGGTTGGCGGGTCCAAAGCTCACAGGCATAGTTTGATATTTTAAACCCAAATTCCTAAATATATTTGTCTTTTTGCCAAAGCTGAACCTTAAATACATTTAATTTGGCCTGAAAAACATTATTTTTTTTTGAGACGGAGTCTCGCTCTGTCACCCAGGCTGGAGTGCAATGGTGCAATCTCAGCTCACTGCAAGCTCCGCCTCCCGGGTTCAAGCCGTTCTCCTGCCTCAGCCTCCCGAGTAGCTGGAACTACAGGCACCCGCCACCTCGCCCGGCTAATTTCTTTTTGAATTTTTAGTAGAGACGGGGTTTCACCGTGTTAGCCAGGATGGTCTCGATCTCCTGACCTCGTGATCTGCCTGCCTCAGACTCCCAAAGTGCTGGGATTACAGGCTTAAGCCACCGAACCCTGCCAAAAAAACATTTTTATAATAGAAAATTCAGCTGTTTATTTTTTTTTTAAGATCTCACTTAAAAGGCTAGATTTCTGTTGACAAATCAGGGTGTTAGAGCTGTGACCACCAAGGTGAGGCTGGGGATGAAATATGAGGAGTGGGAAGACCATGGGGCTCCGAGCTTGTTTTCAAGGCTGTTTCTTTTAGAAACTGCTCTCATGTGTTTACTTAGTCCAAACACTCCATCAAGAAACAAGGTGGCCCAGATTAGAACAGTGTACTTGCAGCTTCTTGGTTGCTAACATTGCCACAAAACAAATTACAGCAACAAAAATTTCCTTTTATAATAGCACATCCATAACTGGTATTGCAGAGAGTCTATAACGAGAGGCACGGTATAAATACCCTGGGGCCGTGGAAGAGATAGATGAAGAAGAAAAGAAAAAAAGCTTTCCAAACGCTATCATAAATAAGTGATTTTTGTTGTTGTTGTTTTGCTCTGACTTTAGAAATAGTTATCAGCTCACGAAATCAAGCATTTTTGAGACAATGAATGTCTCAGCATGGGGGCTAATGGGAGAACAGATAACTGCCTGGGGCTGAATATCTGATTTTTCAGGGAGAAGAAAAGCTGAAATGAGGGGATAAAGTGCCTATTCTGTTGTGTAAACAGAAAGTGAATTAGAGAGGAACATGTTTGTATCCTATAAAGTCTAACAGCCACTTAAGTGGATGGTATTATTTGAGAAGACAGAGTTTGCTGCTAATGGCCACTCCGCTCATCTCCCAGCTTGGCAGCTGCTTAGTCTTAAAAAGCTGTGAAAGAACAGGAACAGAGTCCTGCTTAGTGAGTGGACTGAGCACAGGGGTGATTCTGATGCTCTATGAGAGACAGCGGGTGATCGGGAATAGCCCATGGTTAGAAATCGAGTATATAGGAATCGATGATAGTAGCTAATGTTTTTCCAAGAGCTGATGACATACCAGAGACTACCCCAAACAACATTTTGCAGGAATCAACTAAATGTTTAAAACAGTCCTACTGATGCAGGATTTTTATTGGCCCCTTTGCTGGACTCGTAGCAGGGGGCACCGCATCTGCTCAGCCTGCCGTGCTCAGCCCCTGGTGGGAGGGAGTATGTGAGCGAGTGAGTGTGGGGTCCGGCTGGCCGCCTGGAGTGCTGACACAGGAGCAAGCTACATGTGGGGCCCGTGACCAGACAGGGCATGTCACCCCCAGGGGAAGGTGGCAGGGCCCAGGCAGGGGTGCTCACCACCCTGAAGCCACAGAGCGGGTATTACAGTGTGCATAGCACTTTTAGTTCCACTGCCTTCCTGCAGCTCGACAAATGGTGTCGTGTTAGCAGCTCAGCCAGCCTCTTGCCCTGCTCTGGTCTGTGGCTCTGGGACTGGTGTGGCTCCAGGGTCAGCTATGTACCCCCACAGCTGCTTCTGTTGCATGGGGCAGCTGCCCTCTACTGGTGAGGGCAAAGGGCCAGTGTTACAGCCTTTCTGGGTACCCACGTCCCCTGGGTCCCAAGCTCTTGTCCAGCGTCCAAGAAGAATGAAGTCATGCTGACAATTGAAGGGCAGTAAAGGTGGAGAATTTTATTGAGTAATGAAACAGCTCTCAGCAGAGAGGGAGCAGGAAGGTCGGGTCATCTCTCCTGAAGTCAGGTTGTCTCTCTCAGTGTGTCTGAATCTGGAGCTTTTACAGGCACAGGATAGGGGAGTGTGTGCTGACTGACTTGCGAGTATGCAAAAAAGGTTAAAACAAAGCGACCAGTCAGAGGTGGACAGAGTGTAAAGACAATTAGGGTAGGTGTATGTAAAATAGGTGAAGGGTGAGGATCAATCAAAGGAAAGCACGCCAAACAGGAAGACGGGTTCTCAATCCAGTCTGTGAATTTGACTTGTAGCTTGGCCTTCAGACTTTAAACTATCTTTGGCTTGAAGGTGGGGTTTCACCGGGAACCTGTCCCTGTCTGCCTAGGATTTTTTTATTGGCCCCTCTGCTGGACTCGTAGCAGGGGGCTACTGCCTCTGTCTCCTGCCTCTGTCACTACAAGGTGAATTCTGTAATAATCCCATGCTCTAGAGAAAGAATTCAAGGCACACAAAGTTTATGCCATGAGTTTTAAAAAATTAGGCACCAGCAGTTTGGTATCAATGCTTATGCTTGGCATAGTTTTTTAGTGGAAGGCCACAAAATAATTTTAGAGTATTACTGACCAGATGGTCTCTCTCACAACTATCACCTCTGCTGTTACAGCACAGAAGCAGCCACAGACAATGTGTAAAGGAATGGATGTGAATGTTTTCTGATAAAACTTTATTTGTAAAACCTGGTGGGAGCCAGGAGCTAGTCTGTGTACCTTAGCTTGCTAGCACCTCTTCTAAACCCACTCTGTTCTGCCTCTCAGAAGCATGCTATTCCAGGAAAAGTGGCTGCAATTACAGGGTCCTGGGCCTTCGGGAACTTGTCCTATATCCTGTTGTGATGTGTCTCTGTCTATTGCTCTTTCTTTGGCCTTGATTCTTAAACTAGAAACAGAAGCTAACATATGCCACTTTTCCTCAAATTTTTTCTGAAGTTGTTGTCTTTTTACAGGATTTCATGTGAGGAGAGGTCAGTGAATACACGAGGCAGGATCCCTCTGAGAGCACATAGTTAGAGGAACTAGGAACTTGCCTTGTAGGATTTGTCTGATGAGGGGGAGGTAAAAGATTATATTTGCATTTCTAAAGGGCTAAGTAGGAAGCTGGGAAAAGGGAAGGAGGAGAAAAGAAGATAAAATAATAAAACAATTATTTCCTAGTAAATTAGGGGTTCTCGGTTACAAAATGAACTAGGTTTGTTTCAATCTGTAGCTCAAACCAGTGGTTCCCAAGCTGTTTTTGCACAGTGGAATTACCAAGAGCTCTTAAAACATGTCTGTTCCTGGCTCCGACCCTCTAACATTCTGGCTTAATTGCTAGGACCTGAACCCGGTCATTAGGCAATTTAGAAGGTCTCCCACGTGATTCTAATCTTCAGCACAGTTGGGGAACCACTGACATAGACTCTTCATCTTATAACAGCCTGTTGGGGGCTTGAGGCTTCTGCTTGGGGGAAGGCAGGGCGAAGGGAAGAGACGATGCCTTTGCCTTCTGAGTTTTGAGCAGTTCCAGTGCCCAGAAACAGCACCCTAGTACCTGACAAATAGACAGATTGGTGAGTGAATAGGTGGATGTGTCAGAGGCATTTGAACCAGAGCGACTCCATCTTGAACATGAGCTGGGTAAAATGAGGCTGAGACTGTCTGGGCTGCATTCCCAGGAGGTGAGGCATTCTAAGTCACAGGATGAGATAGGAGGTTGGCACAAGGTACACATCATAAAGATCCTGCTGATAAAACAGTTTGCATTAAAGAAGCTGGCCAAATCCCACCAAAACCGAGATGGCAAGGATGTGACCTCTGTTTGTCCTCACTGCTCATTATAGGCCAATTATAATACATTAGCATGCTAAAAGACACTCCCATCAGCACCATAACAGTTTACAAATGCCGTGGCAACATCAGGAAGTTACCCTATATGGTCTAAAAAGGGGAGGAACCTTCAGTTCTGGGAATTGTCCACCGCTTTCCCGGAAAGTTCATAAATAATACCCTGCTCTTATCATGGCATAAATCAGAGGAAAGTAAACAGACCAAGATGATCTTTGTAAAATTCCTGTAATTGTTAAGTATGATTGAACAACAGCATAATACTCTCCTAACTGATTCCCACAGGTGCATGCATTGAGCCGAGGGCTGGGAGAGCACTTTGTTGGGAGCCCTAGTTAAGGGGTTCACGGTGCTTGTGAGGAGCAGAGATGCATGAGCCTCCCCGCTGACTTTTCAGGTCCTCTCACCGCTCTCGGACTCCATCCTGGCTGAGAAGACGGTGATCGTCCTGGATGACTGAGTCACCATCGCGGAGCTGGGAGTGCAGCTCGTAGCTGGCATGTCTCTCTCCCTGCAGCCTCACCCAGCAGACAAAAGGGCCATCGTCTCCACAGCCGCTGCCCTGGATGTTCTTCAGTCCCCACAACAGGTGAGCGTCCCAGGGGCCCAGCGTCCCTGGTCAGTGGAGACAACTTCTTTCTCAGTTAGCACATCCTGTGAAGGAGAGCAGGAGTCCTCATGCCTAGAACTGGGGATTCTTGAAGCTTCTTGCTTCTTATCCAGGTGGCCCTGTCTCTGAGGAAAGTATTCAGTGGCTTAGACACATTTCCTCTTATGTGCTTTTCCACACCCACCATGTCCCCATACGCCATTTGCTTTACCCTGGGCTTATCTGTGCCAGGCACAGCCTGCTGCTAGACCGTGACCAAAGGATCACGTTTTCACTTTTCTAGAATAAATTATATTTGATATCTGAAAATTCGATTTCAGCAATGTAAACAAATAGAGCTTGCGAACCCCGAATATCAGAGACAGGTCTCAGTCAATTTAGGAAGTTCATTTTGCCAAGGTTAAGGACGCACCTGTGACACAGCCTAAGGAAGTCCTGACAGCATGTACCCAAGATAGCCGGGGTCTACAGCTCGTTTTTATGCGTTTTCGGAAGATACGAGACATCCTTCAGTACACGTAAGATTTACATTGGTTCCATCTGGAAGGGCAGGGCAACTGCAAGGTTGGGGGAGCTTCCAGGTGATAGGTCGATTTCTACATATTCCGACTGGCAATTAGTTAAAAGAGTGTTGAATTATTATCAGTAGAAGGGAATGTCTGGGTTAGGATAAGGAGTTGTAGAGATTTAGGTTTTATCATGCAGATGAAGCCTCCGGGTTGCAGGCTTTAGAGAGAATAAATTGGAAACGTTTTTACCAAACTTAAGATTTGCGTCGATGTTAATGCTGGAGGGGCATAAGGAGGCATATTGGATCCACACTTCCCATCGTGGCCTGAGCCAGTCTTTCAGGTTAAATCTTACAGTGCTCTGGCGAGGAGGAAGTTCACTTAGATGCTGGAACGGTGAGTGGACCTTCGAATTTTATTTTTGGTTTACAAGCTAAAAGGCACCAATTCCTGTTGGTTTATATTAATTATTAACAAGTCTTAAACCACAACCCCATCTTTGAACTTGAAGCAAATCTGTTTCAATTATCCCAAGTTCATTGTGTCTTCAAGCACGCTAATCTCCCATAATACATCTTTCCTCAGATACTTTCAGCATGGCTTCCTAATAAAAATGCTTGACGAGATTTTATCTTGAGCCTGATTAGTTGCACCTGAAATTGATTTGCATGCATCATGTGATCTTTCAAGTTCTTTTTGGAAACGTCAAAGTCAAATCCTGTTATGTGAGATTCAATCCGTTAATATACACATGACTGCATTCATTAAAGTATATCATTTGTTCCTTGCACCACTGGGGCTATAAACCATTATTGACGTCAGTTGAATATATGACAGCCACTGTTCTGGATTCTAAAACACAGAAGCTTATTTTCCGTGGTATGCAGAAAACGTATTTTATAGGAGACCACATTTGTGTACGTGTTCAGAAATTTGAAAGAACCTGCGTTGGTTTCACTTTCTTTAGGAAGTAATAGTCCTTGGATGTTGTTCAGTGATAGTGTGCTCGGTTGATTTTGTTCCATGATCTCTTTAGAGATTTGTTAACCTGAGGATTCTTCAGTTACTGTCTTATCATTGGATGAAATGGTGGTGTCTGTCCAGGCAAACCTGGAGTCCAAATGGTTGGTAGCGATTGCAGAAGGTGAAGGACAGGTGCTCTTGTTTAAATTAGAAATGACGATTAGTGAGCTTTTCAGGTTCGCAATGAAGAAGAGAGTCAAGTTTACTTCCTACATCAGCATCCTCTGAGGGGATAGTGGACCATACACCAACTCTGTCCTGTTTGACAATGATGATAACATCAAGTGGGTCTGCCAAGGTGTGCAGCTGGGGGAACCCCAGGACTTTGGAGACTGCAGTTGGCCTTCTGCATTTGCGGTTCCGAATTTGTGGATTCAAGGAACCTCAAATTGAAAAATATCCTTCCCCAAAACAATGAAAAGTAACAATACAAAGGTAAAAATAATGAAAATTTAAAAATAATGCAGCATAAACAATATTTACATAGAATTAGTATATAAGTAATCTGAAGATGATTTAAAGTATAAGAGAAGATGTGCATAGGTTATCTGCAAATATTGCACCATTGTATATGAGGGACTTGAAAATCCTTGGATTTTGGTGTCCATGGGGTTCCTGAAACCAATGTCCTGTGGATGCCAAGGGACTATTTAATATGGGAAAACTGCAAGACCAGATGTAAACTCTTTTCTTATGTTTATATTTATCTGCATATCTTTTGGTTGCTTCAGTAGTGAAGTGGTGAGTTTTATCATCAATAGGGGATGATTTAGCAAAGCTTAATTTGTGGAAGTCTTGTAGGATCTCTTTTTAGGCAGGTAACAGAGGTTTGAAGCAGATGGCTTTTAAGTGAGGGTGTGCCCCAGACAATGACACGGAGATGCTGGAAACATCATAGGACAATATTTTCACATACTTCCTGGAACTGGTGTTGTACAATAAATCTAAGACTTTGGATGTTATTAGTCATCTGCGGGTAAACAGCCACTTGGAATCAGAAAGGATTTGGGCATTGATTTTTCTATTCTTAGTCTCTTACGAAGCATAGTGGCCACCGCTTGTCCTTGGCCTGAGAGTAGGTGCATATAAAAGATAATGGAATGTTACCACCCTTATTTGGAAAGAGCACTGCTCTTGTTTTGAATACTGAGGGAAAGGGCCGGGACTAAGGAGCGGCTGCCAGAGGGTAGTGGAGGGTGCCGCAAGGTACTGCAGGATGCTAGATGTTCCTTCAGGGTGGCAGAGAGTGCTGGAGGGTGCTGGAGTGTGCTGCAGGGTGCTCCAGGGTGCTAGAGGGTGCTGGAGAGTGCTGTGGGGTATCGCAGGGTGCACTGCATGACTCCGAGTGCACCTCATCCATCCCTTCCTACACCCTCCCTGCATATGCATTAGCAGCTAATTTCTTTGGCCTGTGTAATTTTTCTGGAAATAGGAATAGAAAACACAAAATCAATGTTTATTTCAAGATCTGTTTGATTGGCATATGTGTTTTATTTCCTGGGATTTTTCATGTCATGTCATCTACTGGGTATCCATGCTGGCTGTCGGTTTTTTCCCACTTTTCCTCACTTTAGTGTTCGGGGGCAGTACCTAAATTCTTATCCTGACTTTATCTTTTCCTGTTTCCCGTTTTGAAATTTTGAGGTGTTTTTCTTGTTTGTTTTTGTCTGTTTTAATTGTTATTTTAGACTTGGGGATACATGTGAAAGTTTGTTACATAGATGAATACATGTCATTGGGGGTTGTTGTACATATTGTTACATCACCCAGCTATTAAGCTCAGTACCCAATACTTAGCTTTTCTGCTCCTCTCCCTCCTCTTCCCCTCCCCCTCAGGTACACCTCAGTGTATGTTGTTTCCTTCTTTGCATTCATAAGTTCTTATCATTTGGCTCTCACTTGTAAGTGAGAGTGTGCAATATTTGGTTGTCTGTTCCTGCATTAGTTTGCTAAGGATGATAACCTCCAGAAATCGTTTGTATATGAATTGGAAAAGAAGTTTTATTTAACATGTGAGTGTATAATAAAAAAGTACTGGTTTATAAATGATTTTTAGATAAACCTTGTAGAGTTTGGGGAAACACTGAGAACCATATACATATATATATGTAATTTCCTCTCTGGTCGTTGTAACTTCATGGGGAGCTAATATTTTGGGGGGTTAAAATCTCTTCATTAAAATACTATTAGCTCTACCTATGCAAGCATTTTGTGGGCATCATATCTCAGTATGCAATATGAAGTCTAAAAATAGTGTTGATGTGCACAAAAATGAAACTGCCTGGGAAGCTTCTGCAGCTGAGGCTTTCCATTTGCTTGAACAACAGTAAAAATAAATAAATAGAAGCATGTTTCTATTTACCAGTATGTAGAAATCCACCTGTAGGGTGACCAGAAAATATTCACAATTGTTTTTCTGGTAGAGGGAAAACATGCACAGTATGCTCACTGAGGGAGAAACTAGCGGGTAGTACAAAAAAAAATCATAGAAGTGAATGGACACTCTAAAAATTGAGAAGCAATTGTCAGGAAAAGCACAGGTCCTGCAAATCAAAGTGACAAAGAAAACATTGCATAATTTCTGCATTACTTTTAAAATAGAAAAGGTTTCTGAATTAACCACAGAAACGATCCTACACAGAGCAAGACTGCAAGAGCAGGAAGATTTAATAAAAAATTTATATATAAAGATGGACCAGCTGCTGAGACAAATATTGATCTAGACTGGCTTATGAGAGTCTCCGTTGAGCCATTTCTTCTCTAAGCAATAGAGTTTTAAGGAGCGGGCATTGGAGAGACTTGCAGGAGTCATCTGAGGTAGCTCCATGACTTCAAGAGGCTGATGACTCAGCTATTCAAAATAGAGCGCAGCCATCCTCCGATTATAGATGTCCACGGATGGAAGCATCCCAGGCTCGCTTCCTTGATGATCTCATCACATTAGTAGATGAGTTCTTCCTGTATCTCTAGTCCATGGGTCCATAGTGTGTCTAGGGGCCGTGTGCAAATCACAGGTGATGTGATGGGTCTGCCCCCAGGAGCAGGTGTTCAATGAGTTCTGTAGATGTGAAAGTTGTAGTTGAAAGGTGAAGTTGGTAACACTTGATTTTCTTTTTCAATTCCAATGAAGCCGGGAGACCCAAGACATTTGCTGTAAACAGATTATTTAAAAAGATGACTAGTGCTTGTAGTCAGAGCTCCTCTTCTAGCCAGGATACGGCTCCATGGTTTCTGCAGTGTTCTCTGGGGAGATACCCCCACATGGCAGAGAGAAGTACATGCTAATTTAGGCGTAATTATTCAAATGAAACCTGCTGCTTCTCAAAGTTGCTTTCCATGGTCTCTCCTTTTTGATGCTTGACATTTGGCCCAGGCGTAATGAGAATTCATTTCTGAAACCGGAGCCTCAAAACTCCATTACAGGGTGAGTCATACACTGTCAGCCAGGACGGATCCCTCTGGAAATGGAGACTTTGTAGAATTTGGGGGTTGGATGGGGAGAACTTGCCTGGTGGGTGGGAGAGACAATGGGTATCACCTTAGTGATGAAAAACCCAATTAAGGCAGCCTGAAGTGTAACAGTTCCCATGGCGAGAGGGCTCAGCGTGGTACAGGAAGCAAACTCAGAGTATGACGATGTGGCAGAAGTTCTCATCCAAGCTGGAAACTACACCACTTTTTCAAAGAGAACTCTGTCAAGAGAACATGTAGAAATGACAGAAGTGCTCACTGAGATACAGTCTCTCCCATGCAGTCACGACTTTCCTTGTGCCTGAACTTTTTCAGCCCCTCGTCGA